TTTCCCAAAAGCAATTATTATTTTATTAATATCTATAACAAAAAATATTTTAAAAGTATTTGGAATATTTTTATAATATTCTAAATACTTTATTCAGAATACTATTTTTTGGATGTATTCGAATACATATTCGGAATACTATTTGTCWTGAATATCCGAGAATTTATTCCAAATACTTTTAAAAAGTATTTTACCCAAGACTGGGTAACATACAATAAGTTTCTTAATTTATTTAGATATCTAAGATGTGCCAGAAGATACGCTGGTTGCAGAGTTACAGCACGTATAGGGTTAGAACCAGGAGCAACAGTAATTCTTGGTAATCAACAACATACGCACCATCCACGTTCTTTGGATGTACGATTATTTCTCAACACATTGAGAGAACGCGGTGGTCGAGAAAATGCTACTCCGGCTCAAATTTACAATGAATTAGCACCACAGTAAGCATACGAGTATTACTATTTTTTTTATTAAATCAAGGCAACTATTTATATTGATGAAAAAGTATAAATAGGTAAAAATAATTTTTTTTTATTTAATTCAGAAATGTAAGAGCAGCAGTTGTTGTTGGTAGACCAGCTGCTATCCGGACTATAGCTCGCGCAAGAAGGAGATTGAGCCCCCCAATTCCAGAATCTCTTCAAGAGTGGGCAGATATTCTAAATCACCCGGAGTGGCAACAACGATTGTTATGGTGTAACGGTACCAACAATTGTTTTTTCCAGGGACGACTTGATATTTTGAATGGAGGTGTTCCTAGATTTGCTGGGCTTGTTTTTGCCAATTCCACATTTCTACGGTCAAACAATTTTCATTTTGCAACAGTCCGTACCATCTGCATAGACGGTACATATCAAGTGCGTCCCAATCATCCTGCAGACATAGCACAACTTATTACGATACAAGTTGTGTTAAATAATATTGTAAGATTTTAATATTTTAACTTACACTTTTATTATTTAGTAGAACTGTTTCGATGAGTTTAGCTTTTGGTATTTTAGGCGATCCCGATAGTCCATGGGCTACTGGTAGATTCCACAACTGAATCATACTGCAGATTTCTGCAATTCATGCGTAATGACTTACAACTTAGTTTAGAGTACCAAAATGTGCATGTCATTACGGACTTTGAACAAGGTTTGAGAAATGCAGTCATGATGGTGATGCCTGAAAGTGTAAATACGGGCTGTTGGTTTCATTACATCAGGGTAAGTTAATACAATTTAAATTTAAATATTGTATTACCTAAAGTTAATCAATTTAATGAATATATTTAGAGTATAATTCGATTCATTCGATCTAACCATTTGGTTAGACTATGTAACACCAATGCTGATGCTCGAAGAATTGTGAGAATGGTAATATAACAAACCGTTTATCTACTTATAAACTTATACTCTATAATAAGCTATATGCAAATATAATACAGTTGATGGCTTTACCACATTTACCATCGGATATGGTAGAATACCATGGAAACCAGTTTTCCATTAGCCAAGGTTTCTTAAACATTCAACATTTGGGGGAGTAATTGATAATATAGAATAAGTAATATAAAAATAATATTTTAATTATTATCTGTACCTAAAAAAGCTGTTTTCTTTTCAGTAAATCAGTACAACTTAAATAATGAGTTGAATGTACTAATTGTATACTTTCAACATTATTGGATGGACATTGTGGGCCCTCAAAGGTTTACAGTATACAGACTGCGGCATAGAACCAATAATTTTATTGAATCGTATCACGCTTCTCTTTTACGCCGAATGGGACAACATCCATCTTTATATGTATTCTATGGTAAGTAATAAAATTAAGTTTAATAATTGATACAAACAAATAATTAAAGCATGTTTATAGTTAAAAAATATTTTATTTTTTATTTTTAGACCATTTGAGAAGTATAGAACAACAATCCAGAATGGATTTTTCAAGGGCGATTGATGGACTACCGGTAAATTAATTTTTTATATAGTTTGCTATAATATGTGTAATTTGATAAAATAAAATTTGATATTATATTCATTTATGAATGTATAAATTAGGCTTATAAAAATATAACTTTGCTTATAAATACACAATAAACAATAATTACCAACAGTAATAATTTTCATAAATTAGAAATATTAGGTTTAAAAACTAGGGTAGGTGGTGATTTTGAAGTCAAGATTATTTATTACAGTTATAACATTTAATTGTTGCAAGTAAGTTGTCAAGTGTTTTTAGTTGTTATCTAAATATCATTTAATATAAATTTTAAATAATTTAATGTTAATATTTTAATAGTAGGTACGATTCTAATTGTATTTGAATTATAATTATATATTTATACATATACTATGTAACAGAAAGATATGACAAATGAAACATATAAAAACATATAAAAGATATTAGGTACATTCTGTCATATCTAACTATTACACACTGTATGTTAAGTAGGTATACAAATATTGCAAATGTCTAGAGAAACATTAACAAAAAAAAATAATACATTATATAAATGTACAATGAATTGTGTCTTAATTATTTTAAGGTGAGACGTGTAACTTCTCATATGTATCCACAAAATATAGTGACATTAAATGATGCGTGGCTACGGGCTGAAAACAGTCAGTATACCTTAGAGGAGTTCCAAAGATATACAGCACATACACCAGAACAAATATTGATGGCAGAAATTGGAGAGCCAGTATTTGTGGAAAGTGAGTTTTAATTCAGGGCCTAAAATACATCTGATTTCATGGGACAAGCTTACTAATTTAACTGTTATTTTGGGTATTGACAGATTTTTATACCAAAAAAAATCTATCAAGGTTGTAACTCTCAAAATCTCCCCTCTTTTATGTGCCTCTTACCTTATACATTAATATTATTTATATTATAATGGCACTAAAAATACTTAAAATAAATACAAGTATAAGTTCAAAATATTTTAAATTGTATTGAAATTCATAAATGTTTGTTATTGCCTACTTATTTCTGCAATCAAAACAAAAAACATGTTATAAGACTTGGGACACACATTTGTCATTTAAGGTACACACTTTGATTTTGAGGGAACACAGTATTTTAGGCTCTGAGTTTTATTATTATTCTATCTTAAACACATAATTCACATCAAAAATAACTATAAAAACATTCATATTCTACAGATTTTAATTCAAAAAGTATGATTATTCATTGCAATACAACATTACTTCATTTATACTAGTATATTCCATTTACATTGGCCATACTTCATTTGAAATTGTTCTACAGTTTAAATCTAACATTGATGGATTTCAGATAATCTCCAGGACTTGGATCTAAATCTACAAGCTTTGCCACCTCCACTTCAATTAATGGATCATCAAATGATTCCAGATGAACGTGGACGAAGAAGACGGGGACAAGGTAGAGCTCGTATTCCTGAAAGTAATATATTAATTAGGTATATAATCATTAAAGGTCACTAAGTTTTAATCAATACTTATCCTTAAGATGAACAAGGTCCTCAAAGAATGCGTGGAAGGCGTGGGATACATCCTAGAAGAGGGCAAAGAGCCAATAGATGCAGGTGACAAGTCCCCAGAGGACTTGTTGCTGAGGCATGGGCAGAATTTTATGCCGAACTATCAGAGGACGACGAAGGTACTTCAAAAAGAATCAAAATTTAGCTAACAAGATTCTATTTATTGATATTTACTTTGATTTTAGATATACAGCCACAATTAGCACCGGTCCAGGAACCAATTCAAGAAAGTAAGAAAATAAATAAAATAGATTGATTAATATTTCTAAGTTATTGATGTATGTTATATTAATATAGATATTGCTGAAATTTGCATAATATGCATGGATGAGGAGGTGTCAGTTATAATAATACCTTGTAGGCATACATTTTGCGTCGTTTGCGTACAGCGCCTTCAACAAGATGCATTTGAAGTCTGTCCTTTATGCAGAGGAAATATTAATGCATGGGAAAATATGTAAATATAATTTTAGTTTTAAGTATAGTTTTCAACAGTTTTTGTTTTTAAAATATTTTTTATATACCTATTTGAGTTTTTGTTGTTTTATTTTTTTTAATTGTAATAGTTGTTTGAAAGATTTTGTTTTTATTTTTATGTTAAATATGAGTAATTAAATATATATAAATATTTAAAAAAAATAGTTACTTATCTACTGTAGTCGGCAACAATCGTCAATCACGGCTAAATGAATACTTTAGCTATTTAGTATTTAGCCATGCGGCATGCCGCCATGCTAATAATAAGTCAATAAGCCATATTTAATCTTTTTTCTTTGCTGAGTAAAGAATAGATTAGAAAATATAATAGATAAGTATATAAGTAAAGATTTGGACAATTGTTTACTGGGACAATAATTTGTTGACACCACTGCACCAGTAATACTGTGGTAATACATTCCTTTTTATATATATTTTTTTTTCCTAATACGTTTCGTATTCCAAATGATAATTGTCCCCATACGATGAATATCTAATTATAATTGTTCTAATAACCAATTCTCCAAATATTGGGAGAACTGCTTATTAGGACAATAATATTTTGGGAGAACTGAAACACTCCCGTTATTTATATTATATTTTAATTTACAACCAATACAATAAGTATAATAGGAATAATATAAAATATAAATAGAACAATATTCGTTTATACCAATAGATATTAATATTTCGTAATACTGATTAGTGATTATCTAAGAGCATCGGGATTTTTATTAATAAATTCCAACATTATATTATTTTCTTCRAATGAAAATACTCGTTTTAACTAGAATTATAAATAATATAATTAACTTTATAAAATTTGAAGAAACCGATATTGATTTTAAATTTTAATCGGYTTTTCAAGAACTGATCAAGAWCGGTTTTTCAATTCTATGGTTTCGGTTTGGGTTTTATAAACGGTTTTTTAAAGGCCTCTGTAGATGAATTCTGTAAGTCGATAAGTTAGCTTAACGACAACTTTCAGTTCGTTAAGCTATCGGAAGCTGTGTTATCGACAATTAAAAAAAAAGAGATTCTGTAATTAGGTTTTCGATAAGTTATCGATATTTGTCGTTAATAAAATCGATAACAGACCTTAACGATAGTGCCACTTTGAAACCCCTCGTTAACGTTTAACGAAACATATTTGTATGTGTTTCTTCATCGTAGACTTATAATATAAGTTTATTATAAGCCTATGTTCCTCATTCTTCAAAACGATAATTATGAAAATATACATGACAAAATAAATGTTGTCAATTGTCATGGAAAAATGTTGGCTTTTGAGTACTTGAACTATGATCAAATAACAACTACCTAATAGTTATTTTCTTAAATGCATTGTTTTTTCTTTTATTATTTTAATCAAATTTAATTTAAGTATGGCTCTTGCTTATTTGGCTTGGGAACAGATTTTTTTGGAAGAAAGAGTTCTTATAATTGGAAGACGTTTAGAAAGAAGAATACTTAGGGATGGTCAAAACCCTTTTGAATTACCAAATGATGAATTCATGGGTGCATTTCGTTTGAGCCAACAATTGGTTATAAATATAATTGATGCATTGAGGACATCATTACAGCATAAAAGAACATCTGGATTATCTCCTGAATTACAAGTAGGTATCTATAAAAAAAATACTAAATAAAACTATTATTCAGTTATTGTAATTGGCAATAATATTTTTCCAAACAAATATTCAAATGAAAATAAACTATTAGAAAAAAATCAAAGTATTAAATATAAGAAAAGTATTTAAAATAGGTACCAATGAAAATACTTCATGCTGAAAGTATTTAAAAAATTATTCACTACTTAAAAAAAGTATTTGAATACTTTTACTCAAATACTTTACAGCACTTATGAAGGATAAACAATTACTTGTAATGTTTATTATCAGTGTTGTTTTTTGAACTCATTTAAACACAGATACAATTCAGAAAGTATTTAAAATATATCAGAAAAAAATTTAAGAACCTAATAAATACTTGACGTGTTTAAACACTTTTTAATTGTAAAATCCAGTATTAAAATTAATTTTATAGTTAATAATTTATAATTTAAAGTTGTAATGTCAATTGTCAGATATAGAACTTGGTATAATATACTACCTACCTCATTATATACTAAAAAAAAATGATAATACTCTAATAACAAATTGTAATATTAAACTTTAATAACAATTAATAATAAATGGTTGTTAATGAAATCTACATAAAATAAATAAATATTAAAATCAATGTGAAATAATTAAATTTTAGTTATAAATAAAATAATAATATAATGATTACCAAAAAACAAATTGAAATGTGATTCGATGAACAGATAATTTTGTTCAATTTTGAAAAGATTTTACAAAGAAGTATTTGATTTTCAAATACAAATATGCATATCACAATATTTAAAATAGTTTCCAAATACTTAATTTAAAAATTATTTTAAATATATTACAATATTGCCTATTACCTAAATATAAATATATTTGTTTAGGTGTTAGTTTGTCTTCATTTTTATGCACAAGGGAGTTACTAAAAAGGATTAGGTGGTAATAGTATATTAAATATTAGCCAACCTTCGGTTAGTCGATGCATACATTATGTTACTGAAACTATTAATCAGCGTCTGTTACGAAAATGGATTAAATTTCCAATGACTAGTGCTGAAAGACAAAGAGCTCGAGAAAATTTTGCACACGCTCCTCAACCATTTGAAGGTACAATTGGTGCCATTGATTGTACATACATACATATACTTGCTCCTCGGCAACATGAAGAAGCATATGTTAACCATCATGGTAAACATTCATTAAATGTGCAAATCTGTAAGATAAGTTTTTTTCATCTTACAGTATTGTTTTTTATACTTTAAATTACCTATGTCCTATATCATAGATTGTAAATTCAAAATTACAAGTTTTAAATATTAATGCGAGATACCCTGGTGCTAGAAATGACTCGTATATTTGGAGTATGTCACCAGTGCGTCGTGGAATGGAGTACCATTATAATAATGGTGAACGCCAAACATGGTTAATAGGTACCTATTTAAGATACATAAAAACATTTTTTTCTTTTTTTTTAACTAAGATAATAATTTATATTATTATTATAAATGTATATTTAAGGAGATGCTGGTTATCCGTTAGAACCATAGCTGATGACTCCATTGCCACACTATCCAGAAGGTACTAGACAGTTTGAGTATACTAAGAAAATTTGTAAAGCTAGGAATGTAGTAGAACGATTTTTTGGGGTGTTAAAAAGCATGTGGAGATGTTTGTCTTATCAGAGAGTGCTTATGTATTCACCTGACATGGCAGGTAAAATTGTCAATGCATGTGCTACTCTTCATAATATTCCTATCCATTGCAATCTACCTACTCTTGAAGATTTTGATATCATTGATCAAGAAAACAATCAAGATGAATTACTTGAAAATCAACCTGAACCTGAATTTGACCCAGCTCTAATCGGCAATGAAAGAGGACCTTGAGCAATTGCTCAACGTATTCAAAAACAATTAATGTTGGAACAGTTTGGAAACTATAGAGATGGAAACAATGATCAATAAAAATGCATTACAAATTAAAACTATAGTATTTATTATATTTTAATATTTTTTAAAATAATTTATTATACATTCTTTTTCATTACATAACAAATATATTAATCATTTTTATTTAGGAATTTAGCATAACAAATTATAAACATTATTAAAATAAACTGATAAACCTTTTATCATAAAAACATAAATTAAGTAAATGATTTGAAATAAGAATTTCAAAAATTTATAGTTTATTTATAACTTTAGTATAGATTTCTATTATAAGTTTTTCGTTTTCCAACCTTTTTTTTATCATTATCCGCTAACTTTTCCAATGCTGTAGCAATAGTTGTAAGTGCATCAGCTATTTTAAAATTTGCTTCAACTTCTTTTTCAGCAATCAATGAGAACGCATCTCTGGCAGTCTGTAGTTGATTACCTAATTTCACTTGCTTTGCATTATTTGTCAACACTATGAAACCAATCAATAAATAAATATTTTGTATAATTAAGTTTTAAAAAATATACAACACAACAAATTAATAATATTTTTAATTTAAAAATAGGTACATGGGTACATATTTATATTAGAATTTACCCATTAAACTACAACTATAATGAAAAATGTTTACTTTGCTTTTTTTGAATTGATTGAGATGCTCCTATTGAAKCTGAAATTGGAGTTGCTAGTAAATTACTTTTTGGAGTAGATTGGGATGGTCCTATGGAAGCTGAAATTGAAGTTTCTTGTAAAAGATGTTTTGATGTAAACTCATCTTCACAATAAGGATGTAATACTACATAGTTTTCATCAACTGTAGCTAACAATTCATCCAGATCATTTATGTTCTCATTTATTGTAACTAAAAACAGATGCAATCATTAAAATGAATTAATACTAATCATAACAATACAAACCTGGCACTGGATCTATATCGGTAGTTTGCCTCAAAGTTAACACTGAAGGTTCAGCATCAAATATGACTTGATCTCCAGCAACTAAACGTTCAATATTATCCTCCTAAAAATAATATAAGTAAATTTAAAAAACTCTATAAGCAATAAATCTTATTGATATTTTATAATACTTGTTCTTCTGGCCAAGAGTCTGCACATTCAGTTCCTTCTACATAATCATGACCCATTAAACCAAAGACTTTTTTATCCAAATCACTTAATGGAGGTAGATCTATTTTTTTATTTCCAGTTTTCACACGAACTGCTCTGAGTGCTCCTACTTTTTTAAAAGTTTTGGTTTTTTGGTCTCTCCATGACTGCAAATTAAAGACAAATAGAGAAATTGTAATGGGCAACGGTGTGGTAATATATTAATATAACATTCTGGATATTACATTATTTTAAATCAACAATTACATATACTATTTTAGTCCTCCTTCTTTACTACAAA